CGAGGCTGATGTGGTGCCTGGCAGGTCTGGATGGGCTGTCGGAGCGCTGTGCCCAGTACAAGAAGGATGGGGCCGACTTTGCCAAGTGGCGCTGCGTGCTGAAAATCAGTGACAACACCCCCTCTGCGCTCGCCATCATGGAGAACGCCAACGTCCTGGCCCGCTATGCCAGCATCTGCCAGCAGGTACGTGTCCGTGGCCGGGCATCGCCCCGCGGGATGATCATTGACCCATAGGATGGTTGTTGACTTAAGGGGTGAGGTATTGCCCCACAGGGATGGGCACAGCCCCGTGGGGCTCAGTATTGCCCCCGTGCCTGGGTATCACCCCGTGGGGCTGGACATCACCCTGTGGGCTGGGTAGCACCTCACGTGGATGGGTATTGACCCCCAGGACCAAGCATTGCCCCAGGTGTGGGCATCACCCCAAAAACCGTGGGCACTGCTCTGTGGGGATAAGAATTGACCTTCCTAGGTTGAGCATCACCCCATGGGGCTGGGCATCACCCCACTGGGATGGGCATCACTGGCAAGGGTGGACATTGAACCTCAGGGCTGAGCATTGTCCCCCAGGTCCAGGCACTGGCCCACATTGCCATGGGGCCAAGGCAATGCCCAGGGATGTCCCCATGATGGCATCTGCCTGGTGTTTGCAGAACGGCATCGTGCCCATTGTGGAGCCAGAGATCCTGCCTGATGGTGACCACGACCTCAAGCGGTGCCAGTATGTGACGGAGAAGGTGAGCAGTGCTACGGGCAGCAAGGCGGGCACTGTGCCACGCTGTGCCACGCTGCACCGGGGGACTCCATGCTGCCTGTCCTCCCCAGGTGCTGGCAGCTGTCTACAAGGCACTGAGCGACCACCACGTTTACCTGGAAGGGACCCTGCTGAAACCCAACATGGTGACCCCTGGGCACTCCTGCCCCACCAAGTACAGCCCCGAGGAGATCGCCATGGCCACTGTCACCGCCCTGCGCCGCACTGTGCCCCCGGCCGTGCCAGGTACCGGCACCAGGACGTGGCGGGGACCAGGAGGGGGATGCCCTGTGGCCCCCCTGGTGCCATAACCCCGCTCTCTGCAGGTGTCACCTTCCTGTCCGGGGGTCAGAGTGAGGAGGAGGCTTCCATCAACCTCAACGCCATCAACACGTGCCCGCTGATGCGGCCATGGGCCCTCACTTTCTCCTACGGGCGGGCGCTGCAGGCATCGGCGCTCAGCGCCTGGCGCGG